AAGCACAATCCTTCTTGTCGACGACGAGACTTTTCTTGCTCAGTAAGAGGTTTGAAACGTACCGCATCAATTTGCATATCCTCTACTTCTGAAGGTATGTGTTGAGGAGACGTCGGTGTTGCCATTGAATTGTAGTAACGTTGAGGCCTACTTGTGCGACTCTCGGATCGAAATTCAAAAAGTCGATTGTTGCACTTCACAGCAAAGTCAATTGCTTGACTCAATGTTTGAGGATCAGGTAAATTAAGCATCAATTTCTTTACCTCATATTGTAATCCGTAGAGAAATTGACTCACAAGTGCGACATCATCCCACTTGATATCAGTTGCAAGTTGTCGAAATTGCGAAGCATATAATGTTACTGATCGATTGCCTTGTCGCAAAATACGGATCTTGTTGGTTGCAACACGAATTGCATCATGTTCTCCAAACATGGATCGAAACTCCGCCAAAAAAGCCTCCAGATTATCCAATATTGGATCTCGTCGTTCAAGAAAAGATGAAAACCATGACAATGCTGAACCTGAAAGAAGTGTACCAATGAATCTAACTTGTGACCCTGGAGTTGGATAGCTCTGGGGTTGAAGTTCAATCACTAATTGGACCTGATTGATGAATCCTCGAAACTTGGATCTGGTACCATCAAACTTCTCGGGCAAGGCCACTCTCGGTTCTCTAACACTCGAAGGGTGTTCCATTCTGGGAGAAGGGACATGGTTTGGTGCAGATGTTGAAGCAGCCCCAATCATCTCTATATCTTCACTTCCTACCATTCTTGTTGCTCCTTGTGGTGGTAAATTGAGTTGATGCATCGCAAGCATTAACTCCCTCAATTGTTCTTGCATCTGTGCCATTGCACTCTTCATTTCAACAAGCTCTGCCATAGTAGCACTTAGAAAAGAGAAGATGTCTAATAACGCTCAAAACAAATAGAAGAGAGGAATTGATAACAAAGAAAATACTAAGAACAATATCAGTTTAAAAGAGGGTAATCCGCAACTTCTAATGCGCTTATGTCTTATCAAGAAAAAGGGGTAATCCACTCTTAATCAAGAAAAGACAAAGCTCTCATATTGTAAGTGTACTCTTGTCAATCTGTCAAGGACAAGAACTCGATGAAAGCTAAAGAGTAAGTGAGACTTTTCTCAAAGAAATAGGACAAAATAGAAATATGTATATTAAGAAAGAAATTAGAATGGCTATTGCCAAAATACAAGAAAACTAGAGACCCTTGAAACTAGACTAGAAGCAAGAAAGGAGTTGACAAGAGTGAAGAGGGCTTCACTCTTGCCTCTATATATACTATCTAACTAGAAGCCACATGGCGATGTTCTATAAGACTTCCAATATATGTTGACTTTCTAGGCCACATGCCTTTGCTTACAAGGCAAGTTTTCTATGGATGGACCACGTAGTTAGCTTGTTCTTTAAGCTTCCAACATGTGTGGCACATGGCTAACTTGTTGACCAAGTTTCTAGCCTAAAAGTCAACTATAGACTCCTATAAAGTCAAAGCAGCGTCTATGAAGCTTCTAAGAAGCTTCTCTAGAAGATATTACACAATTAACTTACTTTTATCTACTTTTACATACTTTTATCTATTCATATAGGTAATTATATGTATGTCCGTGACACAAATGTAGGCATGCAATAAAAGCTAAATAAATTATATTTTTATCAACAATAAAATTATATTTATATATAATATACACCATTATAAAATGATGTATACCAAAAAATTTACTTTAAACTTTAAAGTATTAATTTACTCACAATAAAATCAATAGATAAAAATATTATAATCTTTAAATTTCTAAATTTTGTATTATTTTTTATGATATTTTAATAGAATTCTATAATAAAAATTAGAATCTAAAATAAAATAAATAAATAAATAAAAATAATTTAAATTTTGTACAGAATGTATTTTATGTCATGTTTACTAATAATATTACAAACAACTATTCTTCTAAATAAAAAATAAATTTTAGAATAATTCTAGATTATTTTTATAATTTAAGAAAATATAATAAGAAAAATTTTAATTTTAATTTCTATTATATATGAAAGTTAGATATTAATTAATTTTTAAAAAACAAAATATAAATTTTTAATAATTTATAAAGATAATTGTATTTAATTTTTTTTAAAATATATATTATTATTTAAAGTATTTTTTATAAATTAATAATATGTGATTATCAAATTTTTTAAATTCTATATCAACCTATCAAATCTACTTTCTAAAAAACATTTTGTGAATTTATTCAAACACTTCTTCAACACATTTTATCAAAATGTTCTTTAGATTAAATTATAAAATTTTTTTTATAAACATAATATCTAACATGGTTAAGAAGAAAAAAGTTGCATCTAAAACATTTATTATTTTTGGTCTAACTAGCTAATAACATTTTTATTTTAATAAATTTTACATATTTTTTAAAAGTATAAAATATTTAACAAAAATAAAAGATGTAGTTTTCTTAAAGTCAAATGATTTTTATGAATCTAATATATTTAATTTCTATATATATATATATATATATATATATATATATATACTATCATTAATTCTTTGGATTTAATAACTAGGATAATATACTACATTAACATCATAAAAATAAAACATTAAATTATTAATCTAAAAATTTAAATATTTATATACATAAACATATTCAATCTTAAAGTTTTACATAAATTATAATTACCATAAAAAAAAAGGTTTTAAATTCATATAAGAATCTTATGTTGATCTATAATATACTCCGGAAAAATCACAAAATATACTGAAATTGTTGTCATATAAAGACAATCATACTTACACTTACAATTTCCAAATGAGAAAAAAAAAAAAAAAATAGACAAAAATTGATGTAATACAATAAACTCGAAAAATCAACAAAGAGTTTTTGATATTTATTTTGAATGTTTTGATTTAAATTCACGTTCTTTATGTATAGTATCTTATATAAAACTTTTGGATAAAATCATAGAATTTTGATTTATAAAAAGACTTATATATATATATATATATATATATATATATATATATATATATACACATACATACATATGTTTTATTTAGAAAAAAACTTATTTATATATGTATATATATATATATATATATATATATATATATATATATATTAGATTAAAAAAATTATAAATGCAACAGCTATAAATTTTATAAAAAATAATAATTTTTGTTTGATTTGTTATAAAAATATTTAAGAAAATACCTATATAAAATTTTAAATATTAGAAACACAATATACTTGTGAGTTTCTAAATATTATCTTTAAAACAAAATATGAAATTTAATACAAATATTTATGAAATTATTTTAAAAAATAAATAAATTTTTATTATATCTACAGCTAATTAATTTTAATATTTTTAAATTTTGAATTCTTTTGATATAAATTTTTAAATATTTTAGATTTTTAGGTTTTAAGTAAGATGTTGCTATTACCACCCTAGGTTTTGTTATTACCACTACAACTTGCTATCTACCACATGCTACCATAAGCATGTGTATAATCTAAAAAATTACCTAAAAGAAGTTTTTGATATAATCTCCATGACGATCTCTTCCTTCAGAAGAAACATTAAGTTCATTCATCTTTTTATTGATAGTTTTGGGTCATGTCAATGGTATCTATTATCTGCATGTTGTGACACAACTTGAACCAGCTTTTAAGTTTTTTTTTTTTTTTTTTTTTTTTTTTGCCAAATTGCATGTTGCATGTATTTGGCTAGTATTTTTAAGCTCACAAGATCTATCTTTGAGCTCAACTAATCTTTGATTTAATCAATTGTTAGCAATTTGTAAATTGAGTTTACTCTTAAATAAAGCCTTATGCAATTGGAAGCTTGAATGTTATAAATTGGCAAATAATTGTGCTAGATAGCTACACAATTCATTACAATTGGCTCAAGTGGGCACTTCTTCAACTTAAGGATATTATCTTCTCAACTTAGTCTTGAATTATATGTATATGGTTCAAATATACCAAGACTCTAGCTAGTTGGTGATTCATTGTTCTATTTCCTCAAAGATGAGAACCTAAGAGTTTGATCAAAACTGCATCAAAGCAAGGAAGAATGAGAGAAGAGCTGAGATCCAAATTGGAGAAAAGAAGAGAGATGGTAGAATCCACATTGAAGCAAGGAAGGAAAAAATCCATCGCCTTCGTTATTCCCCGGAACTACCGCTTGTCGGTATGCATGGGATTAGTCTGCCAAGGCACGGTCTCAGTATTGAGAAGTGCTGTGAGACAATGGATTATGCTTTCAAGTGCAGGTATGTTCTGTCATCGCAGGAGAAGATGTTTATCGGTGGGTGACAGTGATGTTGGCTAGTGGATTGAATGAGAATCCCTGGTGCCTGGGATCTGAATAAGAGTCTTTACAAGATTAGAATCTCGTGAAACCTTTGTTACTCGTAGCAGGTGCTTTCCTGTAACCCTCAGTATCAGGCTGCGTCAGTAGCATACAAGCTCACCATGAGATCACCTCGTTATACATGTACTTGCAATAAAATTTGATTGGTCATTATCTTCATGGCTTCAAACAATGTCGTATGTATTTCATGCTGTCTCATACTCCGTGCAACGATTTGAATGAACTTCACATGACATGTAGCTGATTTTTCGATAAAACTGGCGCCTCCTGGTCATCTGATTCTTACCCTGTAGTTCATCAGTACAGGTGCATCGCCAATATTCTCTCGACGCAGTACAAAGGAGGCATTGGAGTGCGGTTAGCCGCAAATCATGAACTTGAATTGCGAAAACCTTTCGCAGGGTTTCGAGCTCCACGTTTCTCCAGCCATCCAGGTGTAAACAACGTTACGTCCGATTACCTATCATTTCGTTCAGTTTGTTCTCCATTGCTGTAAAAACTTCCGCCACTCGACAACACTCTGTGCAAAACACCTAATAATAGCTTTAAAAGTCGGCACTGGCATTCACGATCGATAGCAGACAAACATGATAATCACTGAACCTAGACGTACTCGTAACAAATGCTTAACGAGATACGATTACAAGTTGTTTTGAACAATGGAGTCAAAGTAATAATGAGTCATTTATGAAATATGACTCTTCGGGATTGAGCTCTTCCTCAAGACGACAGTTATCAGTCACTCGTCTAGTTGTCAAAAATTCTCTTTTGGCAATGCCAAAATACTTGGTATCCTAAGTTGAGACTGGTATGAGGTAGAATTATCTGCTACTAAGAATTGAAAGCAGATTGCGCAAGGCAAACTTTAGCACCACCAACACTGTATTTACTCTACCCAAGAGTAGGTAGAAACTTCTGGCAAGGAAGTTTAGCAGGTGGCATGTGTTAAATGCGGCACAAGCATCTGACCACCACTCAATAAAATTTTAGAGCAGATCGATCATAATTTGCGATGCTCACTCACAGGACCATCTGTGCACTACAAGTTTCTTCGAACCAAGTGCTTTGCACATGCGAGCAGGTCCTGAGTTCACGGCACATATATACTGCATGTCGTCAGTAATCACCATCTTCCACGACCACCTCTGCGACCTCCTCTTCCACCCCTGCCTCCACCACCTCTTCCACCGTATCCACGGCCTCCGCCTCTACCTTCTCTACCATCTCTGTAGCCTTCCCATTTCTGTATTTTCCGTTCTCCACGGTGTCGACTCTTCTGCCCTGAGAAAAGTTTTTCAATATCCAACTCGCCATTTGGCCTGTAAATACTAGCTGGCAGGGGCATCAAAGCGTCAACACACTTTCGATAACTGAAGTCTTCCTCAGAGCCATCTTTGCGGATCAGATAGTAGCATCTGCTCTTCCATTGAGGGTGATTACGGATTTGAAACGCAGCGATTCCGTCTCCTATCTTTTGCGGATTGCCTTGAGCGACGAGCTCACTAAGAACCATATATTCGTACTGGAACACATACCACCATTTGTCAATGTCTACTACTACCTTTGCCACATCATAAAGAAAGAGGAAAAGAATCTAATTCAAGTTTAGGAGTTTAATATCTCAGCAGAGCGTGAGTAAGGAATATGTGTTAAACACTAAAATCCTGAATCGAGGTCAAAACATTTTTCAAATTATTTTTAAAATTACCTCTATATCAGTTGGAACTCAATATTTCAGTGCAAACCTAGAGCTCAATGATTGCGTAAGACCAATAGAATCCACACAGGCTCCTCTCAACATAAATGAGAAAATAACCAGATACCCACATATCAAACTCACGAGAAAACTTCGTTACCAACTTAGAGAACCTTTCAGTTGCATAAAAATTCAAGAGGAAAAAACAGTCGAGGATGTTACAAACCCACCTTGTTCACGCTCAAATTGAGAGTCCATTCGTGGAGCAGATCGTAGAAGTAAATAAACATCTCAACGGCAGTATTAAAAACCTTCGGTCCAAGCTTTTTCGGCTCTACAGATTGATCCTCCTGCATTCCTTCCACTCTGTCCCCCTCCCCAACGTCCGATTTGACTTTCTTCACTGCATCCTCCTCATCTTCGCCTCGAATACGCTTCCTATCAACATCCTCTCCACCAGACTCCACCGCGGCAACCGATCCATTACCCGACAACACCTCTTCCACCTTCACGGCATCCGTCACGATTCGCACCATGGCGTCCTCGATCACAACCTCACCCCCTTCATCCCCATTGTCCATGGTCTCCGCCGCACCATCCCTACCACCACGTCCATTTCCATCTTCACTACCGCTCTCCATTTCCTCCACGCCCTCTTCCCCCTCTTCATAGAATTTCCCAACCATCTCCGGGGTGATGGTCTCGTCCGGAGGCACGTCCTCTACAGGCACCACAGGCGGCACTGTCACAGGGTGAACTCCAGGGTCAGTATTAATTCCTTCCCGCGGCGGGCAAGGTGCAATTCTCGTCACCGACTCTCCTTGCGGATACTCTTCCTCCTCCTCCTCCTTCCCACTCCCGACCGCAGTCACATCATCAGAAGCCTCCGGTTCGGTCACAACAGGCAAAGAGATAAACTCCTCTTCAGGGCATAACCCCTCCGCAATTGGCAACTCCTCCACGATGACCTCCCGCACCACCACAATATCCTCCGCGCATACCTCACCCTCTCCCCCGCTCTCCGGATCCTCGCCCGGGAGCGTGACAACAGGCAAAGATCCTGCCATACCCGAATCCGTCCTCCACTCTGCGGTCTAATTATCGCCCAACCGAGACCCCTAATTACGAAACTCTCCTTCGCGCTCCGATCAAACCCCAATCGACGATGAACCGCTTCACCGCGACCGCCGTGTGCTCTCTGCCAAATTCGATCACGGAACTGCTGTAGCTTGAGCCTGAAGACGATCTTCTCGTCTCGCCTAAGACGATTTCGTAAGAGCATATGCTGCAACAGAATTGCGAACGCATCAAAGCAAAATTGTGTCTAGGGTCAGCAGCGAAAGCAAGACGAAGAGTAAAATGACGAGGAAGCGCGAAAGAGCATTCGAATTTGGGAAGTAGTGCATGCAGCTCTCTTGTCGTTGGTGACACTTGGCGTGTGGGGTTGCGCATCTGGCATCCACGTAGGATCATATTGGACACGTAGGACGAAATTCTACTCATGGTGAGTGTGTATAGTAAGTAAGGAAAGTGATTCTTTGAAATATTTTCAAATATTGTCGTGGAGAACTATCGCTTGTGGACTTGTAGTTATGATGAAGAAAATGGGAGGTTGATAAGAAAAATGATATGGAATTTTACATGGCAAGAATCATTTTGAAGATGGATTTGATTTTTGCTAACATTTGTGAAAGCGTTTGTTAAATGTAAATAATTGTTTGGATTTGTAAGATATTTTAATTTTTAAATTTAACATTATATTTTCTTTTGTGGGAACATTAAATAGACCCAGTTTTTTACTAAATTTACCTACTCATCCTAACCATCGGAAAAGAATAAAATGACCACTAGATTCATTTTTCTACTATTGGATCCAAAACCAAGAAAATCAACTACATTCACCACAATTACCATATTCTTCATCATAGTTAGGTTGATTAAGTAAAAACCCAGGTCTCTATTACATTCCCCTTCTTTTATGTTTCTAATATAAATCTTTTACAAAAAATGTAGAAACAAGTTATGAGGTGTGTGAACAAGGTTATAGTTTAAAAAAGAATAATTGCACTAAATACAAAATTTATTTATTTAATTTTTTTTCTAATTATTTTTGTTATATAAATATATACACACACACACACACACACACACATATATATATATATATATATATATATATATATACACCAATCAACCTATTGGAAATTTTGATACACCAAGAATATCTAAATAAACCACAAAGTCTGGTACTTATTTTCTGATTTTTTAAAAGCATAATATTAAGTTTCATTTTTCAAAATATAATAAACTTGTTTTTAACAACAATATATTTTATTGTCAAAAAACATATACATTTTTTGTAAACATTATATAATTAATTGATAAAACAGAATAATCTTTTCAGCATAAGTAACAATACAATCAATTAGTATAAAATGTTTATTATATAAATTGAATAAATAAATAAATTTTAATTTTTGTGTAAAAAATTTTCAAAATATTATTTGGTATGTTTTGGTATATATATCTTAATTTTAATATAATTCTAAATCACATATTTTTTTAGATATTATTTTTATCAATTAAAAAATTTTAAAACCAATACTTGTATGTAATAGAATGAACATATTTTTGTACCAATTTCATATAGTTTTTTTTAGTTTCTTTAGATTTTTTATAACTTTGTAATTATTTTTTGTATTTTTTGAAGATATAACAAAATACTTTTGGTTCATAAATTAAATTAAAAAATTGTACAATAATAGCAAGTAACAAAAAAATACCAAAAGTTTACCAATCTCAAGAAATATCAATTTTAATAATATAATCATTTTATTTTTTATAATTTATTAATTAAAAATTAAAGGTTTTAAATCTGGTTCATAAAGTTTTACATGGATCAATGCATACAATTTGTTTTGTTCTGAACAAGTTCATGTAGTGATTTTTTTTTTTTTTTTTACAATTTTTTATGATAAATATGTCATAAAAATCCAAACTAGTTTTATTTTGGATTTTTATTTCTTATTTAACATGTATAAATTTTCTATTATTTTCCAAATATTATTTTTATTAAAAATCTATTGATTGTTGGCTTTTTGTTTTACTGAAGTTGAACCTATAAAGCAATAACAAAAAATTGTAGAAAGAAATAAGGAAGTAGGTATTGGAAAAAATATATATTTTTTAGATTTTATTATATAAGTAATCTTATTCATATTGTTCAACGTTTGTATTTCATTTGATTAAATGTACTTAACAAATTACATTATTATTTGTCTAATGCATTTGTAAAATTCTTAGGTGTCCTCCATGTACATCTATTGATATTATGTCCTAAAAAAAAATTTAAATATATTATAATTTATTCTGGTGTTACTTTTAATTTAACATATTTAACTCCAAATTTTTAATTATTATCGATTCCAACAAAAATATATATATAAAAAATTTCTTCCTTTTCTCTTATTTAATTTTTTATACAACCAAAACCATATAATGCACAATAACTATTTATTGATTTAGATAGTTAAAACTAATGTACAATTAGATTCATATATTATTGGATAAAAATTGGTCCAAAATTTTAATATTATAACTTGTTACTAGACTAAGGTCTTAACATTTTATCAAGTTTTTAATATAATATTACCAAATTAAAGTTAAATAGTTTACTCTCAAAAAAACATTTACATTGTTAGTTTTTAGACTTCTTAATTATAATTATTTCTGTAAACTCTTAATAATTAACTCTATCATCTACCACACAGTTATAAATTAAAAAATCAAAAAAAAAAAAGTCACAATTGATAGTTACAATCACCATGTTTATTTTTTAGTTAAAAAAAATGTATTATGTTATCTTAAAAGATTTATTTAATGGTAACAAAAATGTGAAATTATTTTAATAGTAGTTGAAAGTACATTGTACACATTGTTTTGAAACTCAATTTATGAGTTTTAATTTGTTTTATGATTTAAAAATGAAAAGCCAAAGACAATATGACCATTATTTTTAAGATTATAAAGAGCATCTTCAAAGACTGAGACAAAATAAAATCATAATAAGATATATTTAAAAATATAAGTTTAATAATAAAGAACCATGATAAAGAAAAACATAGAAAGATGGATAGAAAAACTAATATAGAATCTCCTACATCAATAATTCTTTGAAAAGCATTTTCAATTTATAAAGAGCTTAAAGAGTTATATATTTTCTTGAATTCTAAATTATAGATTCTTTTAGATCAATAAAATATATATATATATATATTTAAAAAGATATAATCTAAGCCTACATAAAAGATTTATTTATTAATTTATTTATTTATAAAACGATGGATTTTTATAATTAAAAATATTCATACCCATATAACATTAAAATGTAAGTTAAAAATATTAAACATCAAACATCAAAATATAATTAATATATAACATCAAAAAATAATTAATAAAATATATAATAATTAAAAAATATTAAACATCAAAACATCAAGATACAAGTTAAAAAACATTATTAGATAAACAAGTTTTTGGAAAATTATTAAAATTTTGTGGTTTTATAATTTTTACAAGTAATCAAACCATGTATTTAATTACAAGTAAAAAATAAAAAAACAAAAAACAAAAGTGACTACTATGGCTGGTGGAACCAAAAGTTTATTTAGAAATAATTGTCTCAGAAAGAATAACTTAAAATTACTTTTACTTCCACCAGCCATATTGTCAATCTTTATTTTTGCTCTTTACGGAATAGGACCCTAATTAATTTGTCTTATACCTCTATCTAGACATTATTTATTCCCATCATACACGTTCATCCGTAAATACCACACAAAACCATTCATCAAATATCCACACCACCCATTCATCCATCAAGCAATCCACCATGACACTCAATTGTTCATCCATTTCGTCCGTTCGTTCTCTGGTTCATCCACTTATCCATCCATCCATCCATCCATCCATCCATCCGTTAAGTGATGGCAACAAAGATGCAAGCCACTTGCCCAAAGTATCTACCCAGGCGTGGATACAGGGGCATGACGAAATCTACGATTCAGCGAGGTTGGGGGGGGGGGGGGGGGGTGTGCAGATAATCCTGATTCATCATCCCCTGCACTGGCAATACTGTACGCCACGTCAGATGAAAGGCCACGGTAGATGGTGATGACGTGGCCGGCATCTTCTGTTGAGGAGGAGTAGGTTTTCAAAGAGGGGAGGGTGTGTGCTCTGTGGCTATGGCGGGCATGGCCCGTGTCTCTGTGCTCAATTGGTCGCGTTCTTCTCCTCCCCATGCCGCACTCTCTCTCATTCTATTCCGTTTCTGCTTGCCTTGGGATCGCTTCCTGTCTTTCCCGGGCCGTTCGATTGAGCTCCTTTTTCTTGTTGGAATCAGATCCAATTTCAGCCTCCAAATCGGCGTTGCAAGGCTCGCTAGCTGTGGTTGCTGAACAGGTACATCGTTTTTGAGAGAAAGGATATAGCGCCTTAACGGGGTTTGATCTGGTCCTGATAGTTTCATCACCCCGTTTGGAACCTTCGCGGTGCGAAATTCGATTGCGGTGCGACTGAATTTGTGTGATAGGTGTGCGAGGAGGAGGGGAATTCCCTTGTGTTTGGTGGTTTGAGCTGGTTGGTTTTGGTGCCTGGTTTGGAGTTTTGTATTCATTGAGGATTGTTTACTACGACTTTAGGGGCTTACTCCACGTATGAATTTTCTGTTTGAACTTGCAATTGATGTGAAAGTTCGTGCGATTGTCTGAACTTGCTCGCCACGGCTTGTTTGATGATCGAACTTTTTTGGTTTGTTCGTTTGTTTTTCCTTTTATGCGGTGAGTTGCATTTTTTCATGGTTTTAGAAATATATGCGCTGCTCTAATTTTATCCTTTGTTCAATGTTCTGTGCAGATATTTCGGCATTTCTTGAGTGTGGTGACCCGGAAGTCGTTATGCAGTAATCCCCGAATATTTTGCACGAAGATTAGTTGTTACCACTCAAGGCTGGAAAGAGAATTCGATGGTCAAAATGAGTTATAGTATTGCAATGATACCAGGCACATGTGCAGGATGCATAATACTTCAGAGTCGTTCACCTCTGCATAAATTTGCAGGCGTTTCATATTCTAATTCTCTTTCATTACAATGCTCAATCCACTTTTCTCCTAAATTAGTACAGTTTAGAACGAATCGTTGTAATTCTATGAGTTACAACAAAAATTTGCGAGGGGGTATTCCGAGTAAAAATATAAGTCGGGTGCACCAAATCTTAATCAGTAAGAGTACGTTTGGTTCTAAATCATTCTTTGGGTTCAACGATCATCGAACAGATGATTTGAATGGTTCAAGCAGATGGGGAAAAGTGAGGCTCATTCACGCAAGTACTCAAGGATTTGACCAAGATTCGCAGAATGAAGGCAGTTCAGAACCTTCGTTGATACAAAGTCCTAGTGGCAAGAAGGAAGAAAGGAACCCTAAGCTCTCAGCGCATGTGGATGAGGATGATCGCCCCAGCACATCCGGCAGACCAGAGCCTTCGGTAGGCCCTCCAGAGCAGGGCTGGTGGAGACACCCAAAATGGATTTGGAATTCAATCTGGAGTTGGAAAGGAGCCCCTGCCGTGCAGGCTCACGAGGTTGGGGCTCTGCTTCTTCAATTGAGCGTAGTGGTTTTGCTCATGAGATTGCTACGCCCCGGTGTTCCATTTCCAGGAAGGTCCTCACCATTGAAGTCTGAAAGCAGTTCTTCAGCATATGTCAGTGTCCCATTCAGTGAATTCTTGAGCAGAATAAACCAGAACGATGTTGAGAGTGTGGAGATTGATGGATTTCATTTGACATACTCTTTACGACCATCAGGACGGCAAGCACGGCCTGAGAAAGAAGTACAGGTGATCGTCACCACTTCAATTTTTGTTACTTGGAAACTACATACGTCAAGGATTTTTGGCCGTCCTTGCACCTTCAGTAGCCAAAACGGCATCCTCATTTGCTGCGTTTCGCAAGTTGATGCTAGTGTGTTAAAAGCCTTAACTGCTTAGAGGTCGTTTTTTGGCAGATTCTGCTGAAAAAGTTTGTTCTGGAATCTTGCAGTAGATCAGAAAAATTGAATTGCTATGTTGCATTAGTTGCATGCACTGAAGCATGGGACGCATTTTTGAAGTAGATCCAAGTAGGAGATGGACTTGAGTATGAGACTTCCCGAACTAAAGGAGTTGAAGTACCTGCAACTGCACAGTCAAGTTCTCCCTCACGGCGGATAGTTTACACTACAACAAGGCCCTTTGACATCAGTACCCCGTATGAACAGTTGCAAGAAAATGGAGTGGTGTTTGGCGCCCCTGACAAGCGTCCAGTGAAACTTGTCAATACCTTGTTTGTAAGGACTTTCTGTAATTCGGTCGAGTTGTTCAACAACTTTTGGACTTATTTCTCGTGTATAGGTCGTCTTTCACCGAAACGTTAGACGCGCAACATGCTTTAAGTTGATAATCAAGCGCTGAGATGTCTAGGCTGCAAATTTCTGACAATGCAGATTAAAGACCCTTCTAAACTAGTCTTTTCCACTGAATCGAGAAGCTATTCTACGGGTTCTAATATGGATTTAATTTTGCTGTTTCTTTTCCAGATATTTCTTCTATATGTTGGCCTTATTGGCGGCCTTCTGAGTCGATTTTCGTTGAAACTGCCACAGGTTCTCTTTTCTGCTTGAACGTGCTTATACTTTGAGTGTTTCACACAGTTCATGTCGAATTTTAGTGCTTGAACCAGCCTGTCCGAAGATGGTGCTGGAAAGGCATTTATAGCATATCGGAATATGTTTCAAGTTGTACTTTATAACGTGAATTTTTTGTACTTGTACACAACCTGGGGCACGTTATTGAAACCTTAATAGATATCATAGGTGAACATTTTAAGACTTGTATTCATTGTTGCTGATGGAGCAGTGACTAAGGTATTATTGTTTACACTGTAATGAGGGTGCTATTATATGCTGCTAAACCTTATTGTTGCCATTTACATCTGCAGAGATCTACAACGGGTCGAATGCGAAATCGGAAGGGATTATTATCGGGAGGTGGCAAGGATCAAGGTGTTGGGGGTCCAATTATGTTTGCGGATGTTGCAGGTGTGGACGAAGCAAAAGAAGAGCTTGAAGAAATTGTTGTAAGTGAAGCAGCAACCAAAATTAAGCCTCAAACAGCCAAGTCTGATCTTTTGCACGCATGCTCTACGTATCTTCATCTAAGGAGTAAATTCGTTAGTGTATCATTGCAAAACTTGCAAAAAACTCACGTTAAGGCAATGACGTTGTGCTTCTGTCACACATATAGCATATGATGGTTAACTCATGTCAGATGGTCCCCTCTGAATTTCTTGATCCCAAGGAGATGTTGGATGTATTCCTATTGTAGGAATTTCTTAAACACCCTGAGCGGTATTCAAGGCTCGGAGCCAGGCCACCAAGAGGAATCCTGCTGGTACGTCTCTTATTATAGCGGTGTGATTCAGTTCCATTTGTAAACTTTTTGGTTACGTTTGCCCAAAGTTACACCATTTTCTCTGGGAAGTCAATGTAATAATTGATGTTTAGATCGACAGAAGAATTGATGTTGTACATTTTCCTGGTAATGAAGTTCATTTGTGAATATAAAAATCGATTTTAAGTATGGTGCTCTGTTTCATAAGACTAGACCGCCGCCATGCCATTAATTTGCTGAGAGGGCTCTTATGTACAATGTTTATCAGGTTGGGCCACCTGGTACGGGGAAGACATTGCTTGCTAAAGCAGTTGCAGGCGAGGCCGATGTGCCTTTTATTAGCTGTTCAGCTAGTGAGTTTGTGGAGCTATATGTGGGTATGGGTGCTTCTCGTGTCCGTGATCTTTTTGCCCGAGCCAAGAAGGAAGCTCCGTCGATTGTTTTCATTGATGAGGTTTGTCTTAGTCTCTTTAAGATTATCTTTTGATGCAATTATCATAGTCTTGATTGGTTATACTGCATGGATTACACTGCATCTATTGTGTACTGCTCAGTGTGTTGCAAGTGTGTCATGAACTCCCAATGCTAGTGACTTTTGAAGAAGTATTCGTGAAAATCTCTTGAAGTTGGAGCCTGCTCTTTGTGAACATTCTCTTATTATGGTATTGCGGGCTTTGTTAAGGGGTAGTCATGATTGGAAAGTTCAGTTGAGGCGATTGTCTGATCGTGGTGTAAAATTCTGCAGATCGATGCAGTAGCAAAGGGTCGCGATGGTCGGCTTCGAAGTGTTGGGAATGATGAGCGAGAGCAAACCCTCAACCAGCTTCTCACAGTAAGTATTTCATTTTTTTGATTATGTTCAACTACATTATTGTCCTACTTACTTCTGTGCCTAATCATCTGTAAGTGGTAAGTAATGCTCCAAGGTTGGTGCAACTTGTTTTTGCCCTTTGCCTATTCAGGATGGGCTTGTATTTTGAGTATAGACTCATTTTGATGAGATGGATGACTTGGTAGTTTTTTATTTTTGTTTTCTTTTAGTTTATGTAGTCTTATGCATAATATACTTGTCATCTCCATCAATTTTTGGTAACATACACATACCTTTTGCTGTCTCAAACGAGCGATAATTGTGTTTTTATCAGGAGCTGGATGGATTTGAGAGCAGCTCAACTGTTATTGTACTTGGGGCTACCAATCGAGCTGATGTTTTGGATCCTGCTCTTAGGCGACCTGGACGATTTGACCGGATTGTCACTGTATTGTTTTATGCCACTTGCATCCTTTACATCGTGCACATTGATGAGCAGTTAGTTATCACAATCAAACGATTTTTCCATCGTAGAAGGTACGGGACATATTTGTGTTTGCAAATTCTGATCGATCTAATTTGTTTGGAATAGGTGGAGCCTCCAGATAGGCAAGGTCGCGAGGAAATTTTGACTGTTCATGTGACCAAGAAACAGTTGCCTTTGGCACCCGATGTTAATCTTAACGTGATTGCCGCAGCCACAGCTGGGTTTACTGGGTACGTAATCATTGCTAACGCGTGTTCCTCTTTCACTGTCGAGCGCTCTAAAGCCTAGCCCCCAACAGCAAGAATGCTGTTGCATTTGCTGATAATTTAAGGTTGCGTTACGTTTTAAGTCAAACAATAAAGTTTAAAGGACCTTTGGGTTTGCTGAAAAGTTGGAAACAAATTCGGATTTACTATGGCAGATACATGGAGCCCTAATTTAAATTATGTAATCGTTTCTGATTTCATTGTTTGTCCATCACCCAACAGAGCAGACCTGGCAAACCTGGTGAATGAAGCAGCCTTATTGGCAGGGAGGGCAAGCAAATTGGAGGTTGGGAACTCAGAATTTTCTCAAGCAGTGGAGCGTTCAATAGCTGTAAGACCTTACTGATTACCAAATTAATCGTTGATTTGCCTCGTTTTCTCTAATATAATCCCCTGATGGAGTTGTTTAGATTTAGGATTCCATGGAAGTGCTCATTTTCAAACCTCATTTGCTAAAATGTCAAGGTCAATGACAAGCGATCATCCTTAAGTATTTCTAGTAGTTTAGTCTGATGCGTATAGACAGAAAAGAACTGCTACTAGTACATGTTAGGCGCCTTGTTAAGACAAAGCAAGTCTATTGATTTCAATATTCTTTCAGCATCTATATAGTGGGTAATCTGACCGCATTTTTTTGTTATAGGGTATTGAGAAGAAGCGCTCTACGTTGCATGGCTCTGAAAAGGGTGTCGTAGCACGGCATGAGGCAGGTCATGCAGTGGTTGGAACCGCTGTTGCCAAGTTTATACCTGGTCTTACACGAGTGCAGGTACAACCTCCTTTTAGTTCTTGGTTTCTTTGTTTCTTGTATTCAGCGTCAGCTCCTAAATCCGTATTTGAACAAATGACTTCATTTCCCTCTTATGCATGGTTGAGTAGGTTACCTCCACCTTCTTTAGCCGTGAAATTTCTCAAATGTGGTGTTCTTTTTATCTTGCAGAAACTAAGCATTTTGCCAAGAACAGGAGGAGCTTTGGGTTTCACGTACATCCCCCCTGGTGCTGAAGATCGTAACCTACTGTTCGTTGATGAGCTAAGAGGTCGTTTGGTTACTCTTTTGGGTGGTCGTGCTGCTGAGGAAGTGGTGTATCATGGCCGTGTTTCTACCGGTTCTCTTGACGATATCAAGCGTGCTACAGACTTAGCATATAAAGCAGTGGCAGAGTATGGTCTCAGTCCCATTATTGGTCCGATTTCGTTAGCTACTCTATCTGGAGGAGGCCTTGATGATACTGGTAGTTCCTTCTCCTGGGGCAAAGATCAGGTAATTTCTAGTTTTCTGGCATTTGGATCCAAATTTATGGATGATGGTGACATAAGTAATCAAGTTTTGTGGTATGTTCTGTTTCTGTAAATTATATTTCCCGAGTCAAACAGGGGTCTTGACGTTTGGATTTTGCGGATACAATAAAGTCAGCCATAACCTGAATTTAACTGATGACAAAGTCTACTAATGCATGTGGTCACTTCCATGAGATATGATTTGCTGTTATTTTGGTTTATTCTTGACTTGTAATTTTCCAACATTTTTGTTGTTTTTCTTTTGGTTGCTACGCTAGTTTTTTAACTCTGTTAGGGGTTATAATATACTTAACCTCCGAAGTACCACATTTCCTATATCTTAGCTAACCCAGGCAGCTTCTCTGTGTTGCTTTGTTGGGTGAAGGGTCATATGGCGGACATGGTACAAAAAGAGGTGAGATCTTTAATGAACTCCGCACTGGAAATGGCATTGCTGGTTATTCGCTCCAATCCTACAGTACTTGAGGGACTCGGCGCACAACTTGAAGGTAATTTCCACAATGTTGCCACGCTCATTACATTGTGGAAAATGCGCATGTGAATAATTAAGAGAGCCCTCATTCTTACATATAAATTATTGTACGTAAAGTAGGTAATTTTTTTGTGTTTTTGAAACCCATGTTTCTTTCAAGGAGGATTTTAGATCGAGTCTTTCACATTTGCAAAGCTTAGTGGATGTAATGAGGCAGATTTGTGAATGTAGTTGACATTTTTCATTGGATACGATTGCATGGATTTATGTTGTTACAGCTGAAGAAAGGCTTGAAGGTGACCCGCTGGAGGAGTGGCTCAATGCCGTGCATGCTCCAATAGAGCTAGCTGCGTTTTTTCGTGGAACAAACTGAAACTTTTCAACGGAGAGGCATCCAGCAAGCTTAGGCGAGATACTCTCCACGGTCAAGCTATTTTCTTCAAAGTAGTTTTAGAATGATTAAGACGTAGCTGATCGGTAATAAGGTTGTTGCTGTATATATGTAACATTTACTTATTAATCAATCATAGCAAAAGATGTAATTCTCATTTCAGTTTAGTCAAATAAGAAGATTTTTTCTCTAACTCAGTTATAATTCTCTTAGCAGGCCCATGGAGGTAAAAGCTTGATAACAGTGTACAGACAAGTCAACATATACCTGTTAAGAGCCGACAGAATTATTTTAAGGATGAAAAAACAAGGCAACCTTGCATCATCTTCTCTTTCGAGGTCTGAAGTTCAAACAAATTTTATCTCAAAAGCAGGGTGTAGTTCCCTAGCATGGAATGTATATTAGAAGGCTTACAATATGCTCACAATAGTTTTGAAGTTAGTCGACGGTTGGGGTGTCATCCACAAGGATTGCCTCGATTTTAAAATAATAGGTTTTTGACAAATGGTGTGTTTGAATATGGCCTGAAATGATCCTTAGGCAATTATTGTAGAGTTAGGTAAGGATTTGATTTTTTAGCAGCTTGATGAGAGGTTCTATCTGATGGGTTTTTTTATCAGGTTCTGGAGTGATCCATTTGATGAAGTCAAGAAGATGCAACTGCAAAGATTTGAAAACATCAAACTTTACATAGCCTAAGAACGCTTTTTGCCTAGGTCTGCTGACAGGAAGTAACAGCATCTGAGTGGATTGAAGTATCGTCTTATTGCGCTGTCTAAAATGCTGATTAATACCCCTCTCTGTGAGGCCTTTCTTACAGAAGGACCCTTATCATGTGAATGTAGAGATTCAAACGTAAAGTATTGTGCCTAGCAATAGAAAAATGGTCTTAGTCTCCGATGATAACTTTGGGAGATGGGAATCGCTTATCCGCTTGTACTACCGTCCGGTTCGAATGCTATGCCCTTCACTCAAGAGTTGAGTAATGTCAAAAATTTAAGCAGTCAAATTGGAACACATTTTGAAAACAATATCCAGAACATGATGTATGACTACTGTCTTCTGCAAGACATATCGGAGGAGCGCCCGCGCCAATATCTGTGAGGACGTGAAGTGCAGCGTATTTGTGCTTGATGATGTAAGAAAGTGTATCATGCAGTGAATTACAACACAGCGTACGGTAGGATTTTGATCAACAAGCTTGTGAAGGCTTCTAACGTGATCTCTGACCTTAGCATTGGCTCGACCGCATTTGAGGTTCTTGAATAACTGCTCAGCTTCCTCAGTCTGTGCAATTCTCTAGGATTCCAACGCGATCAACAAGATTGGAATAGACTTTAAATAAGAATTAGCGAGACAGTTTCCAATTAACGTCTCGTTATACGAAAGTTTAGGGAAGTATATCTGGCGGACGAGCCCCTCGAGAATTAAACTGTGGCACTTGTGGGGATGCCAATTTTTGCGGTCAACAGGTCAGGCTGCTCAACAACGCTGAATCCAATGACATCAGCATGTCACAGTTCATAGAACTGTAAGGGATGAAACAGTTACTTCCAACAGCTCGTTCTTACCTTCATGCTTAAATGTTGAGATATGATGTGTTTGGCATCGGAACCGCAGAAAAAAGTTCCAATTGGAAAATCATCGAAGGTCAGATGTTGTGTCCAGACACTTCAAAACCTTTTTATAGAAGTGCCTTTCATTTACTACGAATATTAGTCGGAAGTGAGGAATGTTCTAGAAACTTCAAACAAATCACCCAATAGTATAACAATTTTTTCTCTAAAATTTGTGGTTCAAAATGTATCTGTAAAAACGCAACAACCCTTCAAAAGCTTTCGTGTTGACTTCTTAACAAAAAAGTCATATACATCAACAATAAATTACATATTTTGAGACACATCTCCATCAGTAGTAATCTCCTGCAAAACGATGCATCAAAGTGTGCTCGCATAATCAAACGTTGAGACTGAAGAAACCGTTGGCGAATTAAGAACTGACAAGACATACGAATACCAACAACAATGAATCAACACTGCAGATCCTGACATCACGACTCCTGAAACGGAACAGAGGATGTACTTGCAGTATACCCATAATGTTATGACAAGATATGAAATCTGTTGCAAAGGTGGATACGGTGCTGTAAAGACAAATTTTCCTGCATATTGAAATACGAACCAGCATCATATTCTGACATAAAGCTTTTAGGTACTATACTAAGAGCAACAAATCAACCATTCTGAACCAACGAAATCTCTCACAAAGGCTGGCTATAAGAGCAGAATGCATAGGAGGGAAGAAAAGCTTCTTCTAGAGCAACATATTAATCATCTAAGCTCTCTATTTAGTCTCTGTTAGCAATGAGCACAGGGGTTTCTCTCTTTCTTTGAACTTTGATACAGGGAAGGCGTCATGCCTTACAAACTCACGAACCTTCATGGAATGGTGTAGCAGTCGGGCCGGATCAAGAGTTTACAAGAAGCGACGTGTTTTCTTGATTTTTCTTGGTCAGCTTCAAAGTATAAAAATCTCATGAAGACTTATGACCCATAGTTTTCGTGTCGTCTGATGCATTGTCTACTACTAGAACTGCATGCATCCAACACCATGAGCCACTGATGCGTATCCAACACGTTCAAAGCCAACGTCGCCCCAGTATTCCCTACAGTATTATGCACTCCGAATCTTCATATGAATGTACAGGGCAGCTGGCGGGGTACACCCATACTTCTGTCTACGCTTATGAAACTAATCCATAAATTTTGATAAACACATGACCAAAGAAATGTAGCAATTCTACCACTTCAGTTCGAAGTTATAATAGATATGGTACAAATGCAGATGTTGTACGGAGGTCAAATGCCAGTGAAACATGACCAGTCAAACCCCAAGGGTCGAAAAATTATTGGATGACACAGATGGTGACTCTGAGCCACGTATGAAATGCATCATTTGCAACTACGGTATGAATCTCCCCACCAGTATCTAACTATACCCACTCTTAACCTTCTATACACCTCGATACGATGCATTCAGAAGTCAAGAAGACAACTAAGACTACCGACAGGGCCATGTTAGAAAATCTACGAGGAATCAGCTCACGCTCACAGGTAACGAAAAGGAACTCATGGAGCGGTCAGAAAGGCTCTCCGAACTACATTGCAAAGTGAGAGGGACAGGAGTCAACCTCTCCTTGTTCTCTTTCGGAATATCTTCGATAGCCGATTCCGAGACAACAGAAGAAAAATGGATGGTTGATGACATGGGTAAAGACTCGGACACCTGGGAATCCATAGATGTCTCTTGGGGCTGCTCATCTAAGGATTTGAGCTTGGCTAAACGAATCCTCTCAGCACGAGCTCCCACTGCCTGACCCAGTATTGCAGACCCTATTGTGAACGCTATCGCATATTTCGGCATCACCACCGCTTTCCTCAGCATTGCGATGAACGGGATCGTCGCATGCACAGCCAGAAACCATTGCGGAGAAAACTTCTTCGTGTGCTCTCGCCACACTCCCAGCGGCACGTTCAGTGCCATTCCTACCATCCCGATTGCTAACACCTTTGTTGGCAGCGCTTGCGGTCTCAGTGCTTTCACTGCTTCCGTTCGAGCCAGCGCCGCTCTCGCTGCCACTATCGCTGGCGGGCACCTGTACTTCATTCCTTGCGGCAGCTTTGGCAACAGCTTTGACACCAGCGGTAACACGCCACTCACGGCGCGGAACGACTTTGCGATCGGGCACTGCCCCGTCGCTAGCCATTCGCTCCCCATCGCCTCGTGCATCTGCACATCACAACGCCCTGTCGTCAGAGACACGCCATGTTTCCAAATCCCATCCAAACATCCACACTCCTCTGTTCTGCACGCGTCATCACCACCCAGACAAGGCAAGGCAAAGCAAATCAAGCTAAGATCCCTCCCATACATGAGACTCCAATTTCGACCGACGCTTCTTCTCAGGCTCCGTCTCCTTCTTTGGCTTCTTCTCCTTCGGCTTCTTCGCATTCTGCCTTGCCATGAACCCATCAAATCCGAATGGCCCCCCTGCTCCGAACGACGACAAGCTGATGGTGGCAGCGCGAGCAGACAACGGATGGAAACTCAGATCCTCCGCGTCAAGTGTCTCAGTGAATGACCGCGCGTTCTGCTCTCCCGACGCCCGTTTCAAAGGCACGACACCATCCTTGCCGTGGAACAGGCGAAAGGAGTTCTCAAAACCTGGCCCATCCTCGAAAATTGGACCGCGGCCTGCTCTCGTCTGCACAAGAATTACCCAAGTACATATTAATCACTCATCTAAATATGCTACCAAGCCCAGGCTAAATTGGTAAAGAAATTTGTAGATTAGACAATTAGCGTGGAGTTAGAATGATAGCAAAAAGAAAACCAACTCAAAAAACGCTCAAATAATTAGCTCTAGCTAGACGATATCAAATTCCCACAAGAGGCGAAAGATACAGAGGGGTTGCCGTGAGAAAGAAACCGCTTCGACAGTGATGCTAATTCCTTCTAGATCGAAGCCAAGACGCATAAGAAAACCTAGTGTCAAAATTGATCTTCTAATAGTAGCTAGGACCATAAGATATTCGTGCCCATTGAGACCATTAAGATCAAGCACGCCATAAAACACGGTGATGTCATCAGTATACAAGGAGGATCGGGTTCAGCTGATTCCTTGGAAAAGCCCTCCAAAATCTATACTTAAGAAACTAGACGCTTTTACAAGGAGCCTCCCGATAGATGAAAGAGAGAAGTGGAAAGGGGTTTGGGCGGAGGCTTACAGGAGCAGGAACAGGGAACTTCAGATTGGAGAAGGCAAAGCTAGTCGTCACACCAATGTTCCTCAAGAACGGGCACAGCTCCACGCCCTCGGAGATCTTGTCATCACAAACCCTCCCTCCTCTACCGAAATCAAACCCCATCCTCGCACTCCCAGGAGTGCAACCCACAACGCAATCCCCACTCAAATCAGCCCTAATTCCAAAAACCTTTTCCTCCTCAATAAAATAAAAACAAAATAAAATAATAAAAACCCACTTGAACAACCCTCAAAACAACCTGAACAACACAAAAAACCCAAATGAAAAACGCTGTTCCTCCGCTTCCAAAGCGCTAAATCAACTCTAGACTCTCGTGCTCGCCACACTCTGCTGTCCTACCCCGAATACTACCAAATGTCCGTAAATTCTCGAAACAGCACCAAACCCAGCTGGGCAAAAAGCTCGGTGCCTGGGGCAGGGCGAAGACACGACAAGGAAGGGAGAAACGTGGAGTGTAGGGTGGCCACGGTCTCAGTGAGACGCCATAGCCATTGGTGGTGGTCCTTCCCTCGCCGCCATCGCCACCGTCGCCTCTGCGACGTCCATAAAGCTGCCGACGACGACGAAGACGACGATTCGTCGGGTCCGTAACGTAGCGTGGACTTTCGTCAGTAGAGGTTGGACCAACGATGCCACGTCGGGGTTTGTCGTTGACTGGAGATATATATATATATATATATATATATTTATTCATACTATGTTGCGTGGGCTTTTGTGTTATTTACTTCTTTTTAAAATTATATACACACACACATATATATATATATATATATTTATTAATTTATTTTATTCATTTAGATATATTAATATTGAAAGATATTATAAAGAGGTATAGATAAGATATTTGTATTATTGGCACATAGAGATAGATAGTTAGAGCCATGTTTGAGAACTTTATAGAAGTTTTTAAAAATAGGGCTAAGTTAATAGACTATATAAGATCCACGATGGAACATTTTAGAAGAGCTTATGGTGATTATTTAGGTAGGGCCTATCAAAGAACATTCTAAAAAATTCCAAAATGGTTGGACAAAGTATAATTAGGATTGGCCAAGGCCATTTGAGCATCTCCTTAGGTATAGCTTTGGACCCTTTCTCTTAGTAAAGTTTGGTTTTGCATTTTTTTTGTTCAGTTCTATTCTATTTTCATTTATTGTAGATTACTTTGTCTTACATTGTGGTGAGATTTATGTTATTGTGGATTAGAAGGATCTTAGATTTTCAAGATAGTTTGATATAATTTCATTAATATCAAAGCAAGTGTTATACTATCGTTTAGTAGCATGTCGATAGCCATAGTCTAGTTCAAAGTCAGTTCTTGTGGTCAAATTGGTATTGTGTTGAGGCTACCACAAGTTACTCTAAAGAAGTCAATTGGAAGGAGAGAAAGCATTACAATAGTAGAGTCGAGCAAGAAAATTGCAGTATGGAAGATAGGACAAAGTAATCTCGAATGGAGGCTCATATATAACACCTTCTAGGCGAGATAGCTACTTTATAAAGGCAAATGGAAGCTTCTAGGACAAAGGAGTCGACATCTATTAGGCTAAAATTGAATAAGCTTGGTATATACTCTAGGACTTTAAGGCAAGAAGATGTATGCCAATGGCTCTTCACTATATAACAATACCTCCAATTATTTGGGACAAATACCATCAAAAGAATTATGTATGCAGTTAACTATTTGAGAGATGCGACAGCCATTTGGTGGCAACATCGAGTTCAAAGCTATAGAGCTTAGGGTGGATTTTGTAATTGGGAGGAGTTTAAAATTGAGTTTAGGAATTAATTTCGGTCTATTAATACAAAAGAAATAGTACACGATCAATTGACAAATCTTACACAATTTAGGTCAGTGCAAGATTATGTCTTTCAATTCAAGTTCATATCTCTCCAAATTGATAATGTTTCAAAAGCAGAGATGATAGATTGATTTCTATGAAGGTTGAAACTTTAAGTCTAGTGAGAGGTGGAACTAAAGGATCTACAAACATTTGAAGAGCCAATTAAGATTGTAGAGAAGATCAATGCTATAGATTTCAGAAATTGTGGAGCACAACCTATAGTACAAAGTCTTATATCATTATGTAATATTATGATATAACAATCAATGCCAATGAAGATTGATGTCCTATAATGATTATTGACACTACAAAGACAACAAATATTGGCATAGAAGGGATTATATTTCTATTTTTGGGAGCTAGGCCATCAAATTAGAGGTTGTTCAAAATATCAAAATTCAAGTATCAACAGATTAAGGTAGGTTTGTAGTCTCGAGATTCACCAAATCACTAATGAAATGGAGTAAGGAAAAAAGGCTCCTTAATAAAGGGGCTGAGGATTAGTATTAGAGATAATTATTGCCTCTTAGAGACAAACGACATGGTCTTTGATAACTATAAAAAAGATCAACTGATATACCTAATGGAACGACTAAAAAGACAACCATGTCAAGTGATTATGGGTTGTAATTCCACAAAAAATTACATCTTGATTGAAATTACTGACCAACTTAGGATTAAAACTAAGGTAATCAAGGGAAGGAGTATATACATTGTGGATGACCAAAAGAACATATTGAATAAAACATAAGAAATAGAAATCTTGAGGTTGAGTGGTACTTACGTCTTAAGAAAGAAATTCAAGGTAACAAAGCTAAGATATGATATTATCTTTGGTATGTGGTGGCTAGAGATGGAAAATAAGCAAGTTGATTAAATAGCAAGAACAATCTCCTTCAAAGATAGTAGTTGCAAGGTGATTCTTTGTACCTCTACATTAAGTGAGGAAGAAAAATGATTAGTAACTAAAGATTTATTTATAGAAATAACCATTATAAAGAAGAAAATATAACATAAGTAACCAATATATATGGTGGTTCCAAATCTTATATTAGTAGTGGAAAAGACAAGCAAAAGAGTAAAATTGGCAAAAAACTCAAATGAAAATATCAAGATGTTTTTCCAACCGACCTACCTAATGGTGTGCCTCTAGATGGAGGTGCCACTTTTCAAATAGGACTATTGCTTGGGACCAAATTGGCAAGTCGGCCAATTTATCATCTAATATCAAATGAATCTAAAGAGTTACAAAAGACATTGGATGAACTCTTAGAAAAGGGCCTCATTTAAGAAAGCACATTACCAAAGAAAGTACCTATATTCTCTGTACCTAAGAAAGATGATAGACTTTGGCTTTGCATTGACTATTGAAGCCTCAATAAATATATTGATAAGAATACATATCCACTTCCATGCGTGGACGATCTTCTTGACCAACTTTGAAGTACGACCATCTTTAGCAAATTTGATCTTCACAGTGATTATTGATAAATACCTATTGCAAGAGAAGATATTGAAAAGACGGCATTTTGTATGTACTATGGGCATTTTAAATGGCTTGTTTTATCTTTTGGCATTACAAATGCTCCAGCTTCTTTCATGGATCACATGATTAGAATTATTTTGAGACCTTTTGAAGAAGTATGTAGTTGTCTTTATCAATAATATCTTAGTATATAATAAAATCCCTTAGGAGCATGTGTAATATCTATGAAAAGTGCTACGTTGGTTGTAAGATAGTTACTTCTATTGCAAGCAATCAAAGTGTGAACTTTAGAAGTCAGAGGTCATTTTTTTGGGTCATATGGTATCCTCCAAAGGTGTGCACATGGAGCAAGATAAGATAAAAGCAACGGAGGATTGACCAACTTCTAAAGATGCTTTTAAAGTCTGATCTTTTTTAGGCCTTTTTAGATATTATTGCCATTTTATTCAGAAATTTGCACACATTGCTACCTCATTGACATGCCTATTCAAGAAGGATGTTCCATTTGAATAGAAATTGGAACAACAAAGCGCCTTTGATAGGTTGAAGGAAGCATTCATTACTACTTTAATATTGCAACTATATGATTCCAACCTTCCTTGTATACTTGACATTAATGCTTTTGATTTTATTATTGAAGTGGTCTTTTAATAAAAATTTGATAAGAATCTTTAATATATGGCATATGAATCACATAAGCTGAAAAAGATAAAGCGTAATTACTCTATATGTGATCAAGAGCAATTAGCGATTATATATGCTACAAAGATGTGATGACACTATTTATTGAGGAAGCCAATGATTGTTTGGACTGACCATTGACCTATGCTATATGATTTACATATGAAAAATATGACATCATGACATTATTATTAGAAAGAATAGTTGTAATTTTTTGACATTCAGCTTGAATACAAGTAAGAGCAACAACATATTATGCTAGACAACTTATTGTATAGATCAGATTTGAAGGCCAAATTGAAAGACAAGGTAGAAGTTGCTACCATTAGTACTATCATTTCAAACCTAACTAAAGAAGTAGAACGGAAGAAAGTTACATATTGAGATGCTTAGCAATTGATTGAAGGTAGGCAATGTATAGTATCAAAATTATAATCTTAATGATGGCTTACTCTATTACAAGAAGCAAATAAATGTATTTGAAAATTCTATACTTCAAACATACATACTTCAAGAGGGACAAGACATCTCAATATTTGGATATCTAAGCCGTGAGAAGACTCTAGAACAGATTTTAAGAATATGATTTAAACAAGTTTGAATCATGATATTTGAGCTTTTGTGGGTTCTTGTAAGTCATGCCAATGTAATAAAGCATGCAACACAACATTTCCTAGACTATTACAACCAATTTCACTACCTATAACACAATGAGAGCAGGTGATTATAGATCTCATTATATGTTTGCCGTAGATACTTCACAATCACATTGCAGTTGTTGTCTTTGTGGATTGATTCTTAAAGTAACTTCACTTGGCTATGGTACACTTAGATATTGATGCCTCAACACTTGCACTGATCTTCTTCAATACTATCTTTTATCATGATGGATTATCTTGTATCATCATTTCAAATCAAAATCGATACTTCACAAGAAACTTTTGGCAAGCCTTATTTAAGCCACTAGGCATATGACTTGCCATATTTATAGCCTTCTATCTCCAAAAAGATACACAAACAAAGCATGGTAATTGTAACTTGGAGGATATGCTACAAGCAATCGTAGCACTTCATCATAATGATTGGGATGAATATTTGATGCCTTTAGAATTTGCTTACAATGATAGTATTTAAGAAAGTATTAGTCATTCACCATTCTTCTTTAACATTAATTAGTATCCAATTATGCTAGCAACTCTCCATTGTCCCATTGTCACTAATAATCCAATAATAGAGGAATTTATACAACAACTTATAACAGTCTTATAGTAGGTACGACATTGCCTCTTTATTGCACAAAATTGACAAAAAAAATATACAGATAACCACCAAAAATACAAGATCTTTTCAGAGGGTGATCAAGTGTCACTCTTCAATGCCAACTTGCTACTAATTATATCAATTCAAATCCATAAACTAGCACTTCAATGGCTTACATCTTTTTATATTTTTGTTGTGTTTTCTAATGTCATATACTGCCTTA